TGCACACTTACCTTGTACAAGTCATATGTAATGCATTGACCAAAAACACAATAAAGGTGGTAGCTACCGATAATATCAGCTTTAACAAAAAAAAAAAAAAAAAAATTTTGTATAATTACATTTTAATTCAAATATATTAGGTTGATATATTATGTTTGATAAGATGATCAATATTTTATTTTATTTATTTTATTGTTATATATACTTTATAATGCTTATATGTCTATTCTATCTATATTTGTATATATTTGTTTATTATTTTTTTATATGCTTATATGTTTTAAACAGATCTATAATTTCAAGTCTATATTATTTTTTTAAAATTTTATTTTTCAAGACTTATTTAACAAGGTTATAGGTATGACATCTAGTGTAGAACCTTAAAGTAAACTATTTAAATAGGCAACCAAAAGTTGCACATGTGACTAGCTGTACTCTATCTCTGTAAAAATAGTTGTAATAGCTAACCCAATGTAAGTCAATAAAGTATTGCTACATGTATGACCTTTAACAAAAAAAAAAAACTTATTTAACAAGTTTGTTTATTTTCTTTTTGCTGTTTGACTTAGAGATTGGAATCGATGAGTTTCAAGCATCGATTGGTCACAAACTCTAGAGTTTCGAGCATCAGTACAAAATTTTGACCAGTGTTCGAATGTTCATTGAGTTTTTAGAATTACATAAAAGAATTTAGTACATAAAATTTATTAATTGTATTATTATCACTATATTACTTAATAATTTGCAACATTAAAAACAACTTTGTATTATTATCGCTACTTAAAATTTATAAGACTTATAATTTATGCATTATAAAATCAACATGCACTATTACCACTATATTATTTAATATGCAATTTACATGACTTATAATTTGTGATATATATTATAAAACAACCATGCATTAATCCTAGACATCAGGAATAATAAAATCGATTTCCTTCATATTATGTTTTAGAAATACCATTCTGCCAAATAACTTTGGCTTTAATAATGTTCTTTTCGCACTCATAACATTTCCTGCATCTGAAAATAAGCGCTTACTTGGTGTGCTTGTTGCAGGAATTGCAAGAAATTTTCAGGTTATTTCACTTAAAATTGAAAATTGCCGTTTTTGTAAAGACCACTACATTATGGGATCTCTCTCGAAATCAAGCTCAGGAAGAGCAAGGTAACTTGCAACTTCGTTATTATCTTGGTTTTATAAGCTTGGTGAAAAAACAGATTTGATGAATCCTTTACGATAAGCTTGCTTTTTATTTTGATTAGTCATAGAAACTGATTTGGATATCAATGAAGTAACTTGTTTAGATAAACAGTGTTGCTTCTTAAATTCTGTATACACAGCATGCAAAGTTTCTTCAATCTGATTTTGCTTATCAGTTGATAAAACATGTAACCTTTTGCATCTTGGGTCTAATTGATATGCAAGATATATATTGATATCAGGAGTTGGCCAATAGTGAAGTAAGGCTTTATAAAGAGACAATTTTATGTGATCTAGTAATCCATTTGTATTTGTAGGTGTATTAATTTTAATTTGACGTTTTTTTGGCCCTACTGTAGTTTTCTCTTCATCATCTTCAAATTCAAGATCATTATCAAATGCATTATTGTCTGAATTAAAATCCAAAGTTAAATTAAAGTCTTGAGTAATAGGACATAGCTTAATTTTAAGAGCAGTAATCAATGGATACATCATGCTAATTGTAACATATTCACTACCACTAAAATACTCTGTATATTCATTAAATAGACCAAGTAAATGAGTTAAATCGTTCATTAAATTCCACTCGTCATTTGTAAGCATAATTTTCTTGAGACGATTATAATCTTGACATGCATTAGGTGAATTATCTTTGCTTAACATAATTAAAATAATATCAATATAATCTTTAACTAAGAGAAGTCGTTCCCATGCTAAAAAGGATGAATTCCAACGAGTTAGAACATCACATTTTAAGTGAAGATATTCTTTAGTATTCCAAATTATCTATACAATTTAAAAAATAATTTAAAAAAAATTAAATTAAAAAATTAAATTAAAAAAAAATTAAATAAAAAAATTTTTAAAAAAATAAATAATATTACATTTGTTTCTGAAATTCTCAAGCTTTTTTGTGCATTCTCCAACCTTTCATTTTGTTTAGGACTCATAAAAAAATTTATCAATCATTTTGCACAAGCTACAAACACTTCAGCTAGTAAAAGGCCCTTGCTAATTACAAGTTGAAGTGTATGTGCTATACAGGGCATTCTACTAACTCCTATTTGATTTATCGCTGCTTTTACATTTGCCCCATTATCTGATGTAATCATAAAAACTTTGTCCATTAATCCCCAATATTCAATTTGATTATTGATAGCATTATTTATATTAATTGCTGTATGCGGATATTTTAAATAAGTTAATGTAAGAAGAGCTTTATGTATTTTAAAATTTTCATCTATCCATGAGCACGTAATTCTTAGAAATCCTTGTCAATTTCTTGCTGTCCATAAATCCAACATCAAACATACAGTTTTACTGGTTGTTTCTAATTATTGTTTTAATAAGTTTATTGAATTGTTATAAGTAATATGGATAAGGTGCTTTACAGTTTTTTCACATGGTATTGCAAATGCGGAATCCAGATTATGAACAAATTCATGAAATGATTCCTTTGATACAAGATTTAATAGTAAATTTTCACGGATGAGAAGTTTTAATAAAGATCGAACAAGGAAATTATTTTTTGCTTTTAGATGAGTTTTAGTAATATTAATTTGACTATCCTAATAAAAATGTATAAATCAAGGATTGTAAGATATAATATTTAAACAAATCACATTAATCTACAAAATATTACTGTGATTCCATATATTGAATAAAGATGATGAATAAGGTTTGAAGTTGATCTACCCACAACTTTAATTTTTTGAGCACATCGTGTATTATCATCTTTTATAATCTGGCATTCACCATATTGGGCCTCTTCACCATTTTTATTAGTTACTACGATCAAATCCATAGATTGCCAAACCCAGGATCATTTTTTACACCCAACATGTCTTTTAATTTCTGTTTTTTTAGAGCTATTAGTAACAACCTCCTCTATACTCGATTTTGGTTCTTCACAAGCCAAAATATCAATGTAATTAAATTCATCCTCTTTATTATTCAAAGAGAACTCTATGGGAGTATCAACAAAAGGTGCGATGTCCTTATTCAGTATTAAATTAAATTCTATGTTTTAACAAGATGTCACGAATAAACAATAGTAGGTTTTTACTGCAAGTCAAACTCAGGTATGCAATGATCTACAGGTTTATGTTTTTTGTGTATTATAAATATTCAAGTGAAAAGACTAAAATTTTATTATTTATTTTATTGCTTTTATATTACAAATTAATTACATCATTTACGTCATTAATTTTTTATTAACTTTCTCACTCTTTACTTATACTTTCTTATTGATAAATCAATCAATCAATTAATTATGCCGTTATACCATATTACCATCGATCATGCAATTCGATCACCTACATACATACATTAGAGAGGGAAATTTCGTTCAAGCTCGGGTTGATCTAACCCAAATTGGTTAAAATATTCCAAATCGGCCAAAAAAAGGTAAATTGTTATTTTGTAATCAATCAAAAAATTCATTACTATTAAAAACA